GTCACCAGAACGCTGATCCTCTAACTGCAGAGCATGGCACACAGCCCCTGACTCAGCAGGCATCATCCCCTGTCTTCTGTCTCTCTTTACTCTCCACTATAGGGAGGAATTCTTCTGGGGGCACTTCAGAAGACAGTGCTGTCCTCAGACCCCTGCTTTCCCCCTCTGCTCTCAGTCTGGCACCACTCATTGCACAGCATTAATCTACTCACCCCTCATCCCGACCCTCGGCAGGATCGTTTCTCTCCTGGCCCACTTCCCCACTGATTCTGCACCATTGCTGCTGTTAATGGGACATGCCCCAGGAGGACCCTTCAGATGGCACGCTTTCTGTGGTCCCTGCTTGGCCCCTGCAGGACCCTGTGATGCATGTGAACACACAAGTGATCTGTGGGAGGTAGGATTTGATTTGGCTGCCACAATGCCATCAGAACTCTGATCATCCACTCAGGAACTCAGCCAGATCTCCTGTCATCAAGCATACTTCCTGCTTGTATGCCAGCATGTCAGGCCTAACTCAGCAACCTCCAGGGCAGGCCACCTTCCCTCTTTTCGTCCACTTCCCCCCCTTCATTCCCCCCCTGCCCCCCCCCCCACTAGCTTGTGCACACCAGCCTGTTTTGAGTACAGTGCACATGGTGCAGACAGGGGCACACGTGCCTGCCATGGCCCTGGGGACTGGGGCGTCTGGCAGGAACAATCCTCCTGATGCAATCATCAGCTCATTCAGCGCCACGCAGCCTGGCTAGCTCCTCATTGCTGGCCACAACCATGCACAGCTGCAGCCTTGCGGGTACAGGGAAATGGTGAGGTAGCAGCAGGCCTTCTCTGCAGGGTGGGGGTGTCCATCATGGGCAATGCTAGAACCCCTACATTAGGATCTAGAAGACTCAGGGGTCGTTTACATTTATGTGTCAAGGAGGTGTCTTCCTCATCTTCCTCAATTTCTCCCTTTCCCCCTGTCCAGTGATTTCCATCGTCAGATGGCCCCTGAGACCTGCCCATCCCCCAGCACCACTTTCAAAGGGGAGAAAAGTGTCAGAGAGCAAGAAACAGAAAGGAGGGGAGATGGAGCAAGAGCAGATGTGAGAAGGATTGGGTAAGGAGGACTGGGGAGGAAGGGAGACAAGGGAGTGGAGGAAGAAAAAAAGACAAGAAAGAGGAGGGAGAGTTGGAATGAAGAACAGCAGACCGGGTGCTGGGTGGGGCGAAAGCTGAGTTGGTTCTGCCTCCCACTGGCACATTGATTTCCCTCATGATCTCTGTCAGAGGCAGGGAGGGAGTTGGCCATGTACACTTTCTCCATGCCATTGTGTGTGTGTGTGTGTGTGTGTGTGTGTGTGTGTGTGTGTATACTAGAGCTTGAACTCAGGACCTGGACCCTCTCCCTTAGCTTTTTTTTTGCTAAAGGCTAGCACTCTACCACTTGAGCCACACCTCCACATCCAGCGTTTTGCTGGTTAATTGGAGATAAGAATCTTGCCGATATTTCTGCTTAGGCTGGCTTCTAACCATGACCTTCAGATCTCAGCCTCCTGAGTAGCTAAGATGACAGGCTTGAACCACAACACCTTCCCTCTATGACTTCAAATCATCCCCTAAAATGCTGCTAACTTCTGAACTGCTCTATTTCACCAGGAGAAGAGGGAGAAGGAATGGCAGTCAGGCTAGCTCCAGGCCAGGCAGGCCTATCACCTCCTTTGCTCAGAATGTTACATTTCTATTAATTCAGCCCTATGGCCATTTACTTAGTATTTTACTCACTCTTCCTGCCATGCTAAGGATTAAAGCCAAGTCCTCATGTGTGCTAGGCAAGTGCTCTAACATGGAGCTGCACACGCAGCCCCTGTTTACTGATATTTTAGAGGGTACAGTATTCAAATTTACTGGTGTGTGGGTGTGTGTGTGCGTGCGTGCACGCACACACGCGCATGCACGCCAATCTTGGGGCTTGCACTCAGCATCTGGACTCTATCCTTGAGGTTTTTTGCTCAAGGCTAGTGTTCTACCACTTGAGCCACAGCTACACTTCCAGCTCTTTTGGTGCTTAATTAGAGATAAGAGTTTCACAGAATTTCCTGCCCAGATTGGTTTTAAACTACGATTCCCACATCTCAGCCTCTTGAGTAGCTAGAATGACAGGCATGAGCCACCAGCACCTGGCAGATTTTATTGATCTTTGAAGCAAAGTTATCATTTGGTTGGCACCTGATGAACTGGAGATCCTAGTGGCCTTTTCTTTTTCTAGCCCCGGGCTTTTGTTTTACAGGAATTTCTCATCTCAGCTGATGAGGCTAAGATAAGGTAATGCCCCAACCTTGATCTCAACTCCAGTAAACAGCACTCCATAGTGCTAAGGCTTGGCATTAGTGTGTGCTCCCATGGCTCAAAGAAGACAGAGAAAGACCTGAGGCCCTCTGTGATGACAGCTCCCTTGGATTGGGCACATACAGCAGGCTAGCCACTGTGGTTCAGTCATTTAATCCCCAGAGATAGAGAATTAAATTAGGTAGAGAATTTTTTTTTAAACCGGTCGTGGGGCTTGAACTCTGGGCCCGGGCGCTGTCTCTCAGCTCTTTAGCTCAAGGCGAGCACTCTACCACTTGAGCCACAGCACCACTTCTGGTTTTCTGAGTGGTTAATTGGAGATAAGACTCTCAAGGACTTTCCTGCCTGGATCTCAGCCTCCTGAGTAGCTAGGATTACAGGTGTGAGCCACTGGCACCTGGCAAATAGGGGATATTATTACCCAGTTTTACATATGAATAAACTGAGGTCCAGAGAAGTTAGGACACTCATCCAAAATCACCCAGCCTGTAAGCCACGCAGCAGTTAAATGACTGAACACTGCGTTGACTGGGCCATGGCTGGGGTCTCCAGGACACTGAGGCTGTTGGCAGCATTTCCATATATGGAGGCCAGGGTGATGAGACAGCCTGGAGTCAGTTGAGAAGGTCTGGGTAAGGAGCACGGCAGTGCTGCCTTCCCCACTCCCCACGGCCCCCTCCTCCCTCTAGCTTGGCCGTGGTGTTCTGTGCCCTGCCTGCTGCCCACCAGCTGCGCGGCCCCCGAGCACGGGCCTCTCCACTCTGCCTCTGAATTGCCACGTTGGCGTCAGAAGCGGGAAGCATATTGTGTACAGAAACAAAACGGAGTGGTTTTTGCTTTTTCTGAAGGTGGTAATGGTGCAATTAGTGGCTAAGCATCACCCTCCTCCCTTGCTGCCTCTCTCCTTCCCCTCCATACCCTCCCTCTTCCTCCCAGGAGAAGCGGCTGATGGAGAGCTCACTCCTTCTTCTCCCAGACAGAGGGGCAGAGACCCCTGGGAGGTGTCCAGGGCCCCCAGGATGGACTTGATGGAGCTGGAGAATACTCAGAGGCACACAGTGTATCCTGCCTGCAGGGGACCTACCAGGCCACTTTTCTTGAGCGGAGGGTTAAACTATAGTGTGGGAATGATTGTGGTCCCTCTTTAAATCTTCCTTTTCCTCTTCTAGAAATTGAAACACAACTTTATGCTTGCCTATCCCCAAGGCCTTCAATGACCTTTAGGCCACTCCATCTTTGCAGCCTTTCTCTGATTAAGAGGAAGATTGATTCCCCTATTATTAAAAAAAGGGAGGAGGAGCTGGAGATTGGAGCTAGTGGCTCATACATATAATCCCAGGTATTCAGGAGGCTGAGATCTGAGGATCACACTCTGAGGCCAGCTTAGACAGGAAAGTCCATGAGCCCCTAATCTTCAATTAATCACCAAAAAGCCATAAATGGATCTGTAGCTCAAGTGGTAGAGCACTAGGCTTGTGCACAAAAGGGCCAAGGCCCTGAGGACTGGAGAAATGAACAACAACAACAACAAAAAAACCCCAAAACAACAAAAAAATCTCTGGAAGTTCAAAGAGGCCAATGCTTGCCTAGGGTTGGTTACACAGCTAATAAATGGCAGAGCAGAACTTGAATTAAAATCTTTAGTCTTAAACTCCAGTTCCTTTTCTTCTTAACTACCTCCCCCACCCCCTGGTCCTGGGTGAAATAGCCATAGGAATGGCTAGTGACCTGGAGAAGAGAGGTTGGTAGGGAAGGTGCTCAGAGAATTTGGGAATGAAGACTTCAAGGCAGGCAGGTGCATGCCACTGGCCAAGCCCTGTGTAGGCGGGGCTGTGTGCATGCCATTGCAGCTGCCTCTTGCTTCTTTTACCTTGCCTTGAAGCACAAGCAGAAACTAGGACATGGGCCCCAGGAGACCAGATCTTCAGGTCCCTCTGGGAGCCTGAGTGGGGGAGAGGCCTTGGAAGAGGTCTCAGGAGGGGCCTGACGGTCATGGCTGTGAGAGATGAAGAGGAGCAGAGTCCTGGGGTCTTTTCTGCAGTCTCCTCCAAGATAGAGTGACACTGAACAGTGATAAAGGTGGCAAAAACTGAGGTAGAGGACAAACCAATCAGACAAAAAGACCACCGAGAGGATCACAGACAGTTTCAGAGCAGAGAGAGGGAGAGAGGGAGAGGGGGAAAGAGAGGGTATCCTGATGAACTGGTCATCATTTCCCTGTAAACCTTAGAGCCCAGCTGTTGCCAGGGCAACGGGGCAATACCTGTCTCTCCAGAGGAGATGAAGTTGCCAGGGTAACTACATCCTGTCTTTCCTGAGGACCATCCCAAAATGTGGCACCCACTGGCCGTTACTATAGCAACTGCCTCTTTGCCCCACTTAATCCCATCCCATTTGCTAGATCGGCTCCATAGTTGGAGATGGGGGAGGTGAGAAGAGAGATTACTTGGAGACTAAGTTTGTTCTACTCTGTCTTTCTTTTCTACCTCCCCTCAACCCCTAACCCTCGGGGGGTGCTGGGTCCATCGCCCCCGGATGCATGCAGTCCTGTGGTATTATGTGCGGTAGGTAGGGCCAGGGCGACTGGGAGCAGGTTTCACAGTGGAAGGCAGGCAGGTGTTGGGGAGGCAGTTACCGGGGCAACGGGAACAGGGCGTTTCGGAGGTGGTTGCCATGGGGACCTGGATGCTGACGAAGGCTCGCGAGGCTGTGAGCAGCCACAGTGCCCTGCTCAGAAGATCCAGGCTCTTCAGTCAAGCCGGTTCTTCATTCGCACTCGGCAGCACGGGCAGGCGAGTGGCCCTTGGTTCTGGAAGCAGGGCAGCAGTATTCTAGTCCTGGTCCTCCATCCTCCAGCCTCGCCTGCCCCCAGTGCTAGCATGGCCACCATCACCTGCACTCGCTTCACGGAAGAGTACCAGCTCTTCGAGGAACTGGGAAAGTGAGTTGCGCCTCAGGGAGTCCTGGAGGGTGAAGAGGGTCAGCCTCTTGGGTGGGCTGAGGGTGTGCCTGCAAGGCTCAGAGCTCTTTGGCACATAGTGGCAGGCAGGCTGCATGGTTTGGGGGTGCTTGCATGTGCACAGGATGTCCACAGTCAGGCATAGAGACATTTGTGAGTGCAGATGTGCCAAGCTAGCAGGAGAGATGTGTATATAAAGGGGACAGGTTGACAGTTGTGTTAGCATGCACACAAGTACACATGACCTGGGCACACAGAAATTCTTAGAAACTCAGGGGGTAAGAAGGGCTTCTCCTCATTCAGCTGGGTTCAAGGTAGAGTCTCTTCTGTACTTGTATCCCTCTAATGATGGAGAGCTCACTATATTCTAGGTAGGATGCTGATTGTGCAGCCACAGTGCAGATTGCTAACTTCATCCTGTAAGCACATCCCCTCCCTCTTTCTGTCTCCTACCATGAGCAAGGGCACTGGTGCAGGAGGGGTTAAAATGCCAGTGGCTGGTGTTAAGAGGAGGGGAAGGGCAATCTGCAGGCTATGGTGGGGTTGTGTACATAAGCTGTGGTCCAGTGGCAAAGTTGCTCATTTTGTTATGCCCCTGATGTTAATGCAAGAAAGATCGGAGGTCAAGAAGAGAGGAAACCTTGGGGTGACCCAGTGAGGTGCGAGTGCCTGTTGGGAGAAGATTGCTAGATGCCCATAAGCAGGCTGGTAGAAGGTCCTGGGATGTATCAAGGGTTGGGCACAGTTTAGAGGTGGAGTGTGCTCGTGTCAAAAGGAGCACCAGTGTCCTTCTGGGTCCTGCTGGAGCGGCAGGAGTTGGGGGACAGGGGGCCTGCATGCAGGTGCCAGGTCTGGATGTGCGTGCACCAAGGGGTTGATATGTGCTGCTATAAATGACTCTCAAGGGGAGTCGATCATGTTGTTGTATAAGAACCGACTCTGAGCTACACTCATTGAAAAGAAGTGTACCAATATTCATATGTGTGCACCAGGAAGAGATGTTTGTGTAAAGCTTATAAATACAAGTGTGCCCAGCAGAGATATTTGTGTGTGCAAGCGGACAGGATGTGCTGTTGGCTAGCTCGCATGGGTGAGAAGGATGCACACATATCACTGTGTGTGCACATCTGTGGCAGGTCACAGCTGTGTATGCACATCAGGAGGCACATGTGTGTGAGGCCTGGGGTGTGTCAGAGCTCACACATGAGACTGGACACAGTGGTGACTCAGTGTGCACATCTGGGTGAAAACTGGGAGCACGCACACAGGAAGGCATTAGTGTGAGCATGTGAGTGTGTATGCGTGTGTTCATATATGAGTCCTGGACTCCAGGACTTATATGTATGTTGTACATATATGTGAGCTCATGCTGGTATCTGCATATGTGTGGGAGGTAGACCCATGGCCGTATAAGCTGAATTCCTGCACATACATACACACACACACACACTTGTACAACCAGCCTATCCCCAAACCTACACACACAAACACACACTTGTTCCCTTGTGCAGACACATACTCTTGCACAGATGTGTGTTCATTCTTGTCTGCAGACTTCCTGCCTTTCTAAGTCTGTCTTTGTGCTGAAGGTGAGGGCAGGGATGTATTTAGGGCTGCTGACTTGGGCTGTCTCTTAAACTTTAACCAGGAACCCTCTCCATCTAACATCCATTATCCACCAAGAGTTCAATAATCCCCTGAATCGACAGGAGCTGTCCTTCAGGAAGATACTCAGGCTGGGTCCTGGCAGGAGTGCGTCACAGAGCCCGGAGAGGAGTGAGGATGTGACTCAAGTATGCAAAGTGAGAACAAAGTGCTGTTTTGGCCAGGGAGGAGATGGGTATCATCAGGTTTGGGTTTAGTAAGGTGACTTGACAGAGAGATCTTCGGTAAGCCTGTCCAGCCCCTAGGGAAGGAATAAAACTTCAAGGGAGAGGATGCTGTGCATGGCCACAGCAGGAAAACTGAGGGTAGCAGGCATAACCAGGCCTCATCCAATCAATTTCAGACCTCTTCCTTCCAGAACTATCAGTGCTCTTAACCTTTTTTAGGTCACAAATTCCTCCAGGAATCTGATGAAAGTCTAAATTGACATTCCCCAGGAAAAAAAAATGCACAAGCCTACAAAATGTTACATGCGGTGTCAGAAGACTGCAGGACCTCAGGAGGCTGTGTGTGTGGGCCCAGGGTGAAGGCTGCTTGTATTGGAGAGAAGGGGCCGAGGTGGCTGGCAGAGCGTCTGCGTTACAGAAGCCATGGCTTGTCATGGAGCAGGTCTGCGACTCCTGCTCAGCACAACAGCTTCTGTCGGAGCATCCAGGAGGGCAGGGAGAGGTGGCCCCACCCTACCCTCAGCCCTATGGTATTGGCTACAACACCCACCTGCAAACTGGAGACAGAAAGGGATGTTGGGATTAAATGAGATGGTACGTGTGAAGCCTTGAGTCTGGTGCGTGCATAGTGGGTCTCAAGCTGGCATTGCTGCTGGGGTGGATACTGTCCTCAAGGATGGAGCAGAGTTAGAAAGGCCTTCTAGATCCATCTGGAGCCTTCTAGATGTTTACCTTTTGTCTGAGCTGGCAGGGAGGCTCCAGATCCTCTTCTGTGGGGGAGGCTTTGAAGATGCCTGCAGGCTTTACCCTTCCATTGATGGTCCCTGAACCTCCCAGCCAGTGTTCTACCATCCCCATGCAGAGGCTGAATCCCTTTCCAGCGCCCACCCCAGATACCCACACAGTGACTGGGGGCGTATTTAAAAGGGGACATGGGGACCTTTGGCTCCTCTCTAGCAGGGGTCTGGACTGGCAGGCTGCAGGTGGAACGATGCTCTGAAGCTCCCTAGAGTCCCGCCTGGTGAGTTCTGGCTTGTCACGGCGGAGCTTCCAGAAGTCCAGGGTAAGGCTCACTATGTTAGGATGAACAAGCAGCATGGGCTGTGGCTGCAGGGGACCTGTGCAAGAGGTTCTGGGGCTTCTACATGCTACCAGACTGTGGGGCCCCTGAAGAGCCAAGAATTTGATTCCAGATCCATTAATGGGTTAGGATGCCACCCCCCATCTCTTTAAATTTAGTTTTATTGTCAAGGTGATGTTCAGAGGGGTTACAGTTACATACATAAGGTAGTGAGTACATTTCTTGTCAAATTTGTTACCCCCTCCCTCATTTTTCTCCCACTTCACTCCTCCCCCCAATTCCCCCCCACCTCCGCAAGTTGTACGGGTTATTTACAATGTATTGTCTTGTGAGTGTCACTGTCGCATTGATATACCCTTTGGGCCCTCTTTTAAGGCAAAGAGATGAGCTCTCTCCCTCTTCCCCCAGTTCTCCTCCTTCCCTGGAAGGCAAGGGTGAAGCCTGAACCCTAGGAGTGTGAATTTGCTTAGAAGTGGTTTTGATGCCAGCTCTAGCAGAGCAGAGTGGACTGGGACAGCCAGGCCATGGCTCCCAGCGCACTCAGTCTTATCTGATGTTTCGAATCCCTGAGAAAGCCAGGAATTCTGGGGTTGATGGAGGTGTGGGGGGGAGACAAGGACTCAGGAAGGGGGTCAGGAGGAGAAGGGGAGGGGGAGTCAGCATCCTCCTGCCTTTGCTATTTCCTGGGCTGTTGGTCTGCCCCCGCTTACAGAGGTTAGAGAGGCAAAGACTTGCCCTGCAGCCTCGGGTAATCACTGGGCTGAACAGAAAGAGCCTCAGAAGGAGATTGTTACTTGAGAGAGGCAGAGAGAAGGAGGAGAGAGCTCAACCCACTCTTTTCTCTCTAGAAACAAGGATCTGAAATTGACTCAGGCAGCACTGGTGAGGGGAAGCTGGTGTCACTGGTTAGCCACAATGACAGAGGGAGGAGAGGGCTGGATGCTGAGCTGAGCTCTGTGCCCCACTGGGAGCCTCCTGTCCTGCACCATCCGTGACTGGGCTGTCGAGGGGTGACCTAGGGCATCTAGGGATGACCAGAGGCAGCACCCACACTAGGGGTCAGGTCCTGGTGCATAAGCCCTCTCTTGGAACTTAGAATTACTTAGCCTTCCTGCTCTTCGCTGGCAAGCCATTAGGAGAAAGCTGGGCAGTGTCTATTGGAGAGACAGTTCTGAAGCACTGTGCCCCACCCAAGGACAGCACAGTGTATCTGGATTCTGTTACTTAGTCACTTTTCCCACCTTCAGCACTGCAGCCTGGGAGAAGCAGCTCCACCCTGTCCACAGCTCATCCCTGAGGGAGGTGGGTGGGACTTGCTCATCCATCTTACAGATGGGCAGACCAGGGCTGGAGGAAATAGAGGGCAGCTTGGGACATGGTGACCAGGCCACTAGCCACCAGTCTTCTCAGGGAGGCTTCTGAGCAGGGGCCCTCTGGTACTGTGCTAGAGGATATCTTCCCTCTTGACCATGAGCAAGGGAAGAGAGGGTAGAGACCTTTAGGGATGCGTGCCTGTGTGTGTGTGTGTGTGTGTGTGTGTGTGTGTGTGTGTATGTGTGTGATTGGGGGTGTGTGTGTGTGGAGCTCTCTCCTTCCTTCTCTCTTCCTTTCTTCCCTCCTTCCCTTCCTCCCTCCCTCCCTCCTTCTCTCCCTCTCTCCCGCCCTCTCTCCTTTCTCTCTCTCCTTTCTCTCTCTCTCCTCTCTCTCTCCCTCCCTCTCCCTCCCTCTCCCTCCATCCCTCTCTCCCTCCCTCTCTCTCTCTCTCTTTCTGTGTCCTGGTCTTGGGCTTGAACTCAGGGCCTGCACATTGTCCCTGGTGCTGTTCCCTTGTACTCTAGGCTAGTGCTCTACCACTTGGAGCCACAGCTCTATTTCTGGCTTTCTAGTAGCTAACTGGAAATAACAGTCTCATGGACTTCCCTGCACAGGCTGGCTTTGAACTGCTATCCTTAGATCTTAGCCCTGAGTAGCTAGGATCACAGTGGTGAACCACCAACAGCCAGGATTCTGCCTTGAAATGTTCTAATCAGGACTCTGCCTTGAAAGCTTCCCGGGCTACCTTGAGCGAG